TTTAGGTCAATTAGGATAGTTAATCTGCATTTAGTTAATTAGGATTAATCATTAGTTAATTAGGTCTTAATTGTTTTAATTAGATAATCAGATTTAGAGTTTTTTAATCATTTTCTATTCAGTTTTTTAGTGTTTTTGTCCTGTTTTCGTTGGGCCCAGAAGGGCATTTTTGAAAGCCCAATTCATCTTTTTTTTCTGTTTTTTTAGTCCAGAGTCAGAAAGTGACACTTGTCACTATAAGAAGCTCTCCACGCGTAACACAGGAGGGACCCCACCACACCAACTCAGAATTCACCCTCTCACTGCCACACATTTTCCACTCACTACGCCCTGCCACACGTCTCTCCACTCCCTCAACCGCACGCCACGCGTCCTGCATGCAGGACCTCCTCTGAGACACTTGTCTCCACTGCATCCATCGCCGGAGAAGCCACCGGCCGGCATGCAAACCCCGTCCCGCCACCCTTAACACCACCGTCCTTGCCAGAAACTGCAAACAAGCTCCAGAATTCCCAGAAATCGTCCGATCTTCATCTTCTTCCTCCGTCAACCTTCATCATCACCTCGCCGGAAAACTCATACTCGCCGGAAACTGCATACGAATCACCAGATCATCAAACACTCATCGTTCATCTGGAATTTCTAGAAACCTTCATCAACCAACGAACGATCCGTCAACAACCTTCGAAGCAGATCATCGTAGCTCGTTATCTCTCTTCAAGATCTTCAACGATCTTTTGAAGGTCTTCCTCAGAACATCCAAGCAAATCAAAGGACCTTCAAGATCTATCAGCTTCGGAACCATCGTCTTCATCAGTCCTTGCAATTTTCTTCCCAGATCTTCATAGAACTCATTGAGTTCTTCATTGTTTGCCCAGAAATCTCCAGAACGCGAAGAGGCGCCTCCATCGCAAGCCAACCGGTCCTTCAAGAACGTTGCAACGCCGTTCGTCGCCCTCAACAGCTTCAAGATTTTCCAGTTCTTCATCATTCGTCAGTAGATCCAGGGTTCATCAAATCGTGTCAACACCTCCAGGTTCTTGTTTTCTTCCAACTCTTCTTGTAAACGTTTGGATTATGAATGTATTAGGAGTTGTGTTGGTATTTAGGGTAGGTTCTTGATAGTTTAACGAAAGGGATTTTGATGAGATCTGGATTTGAGGTTAGGTTTTAGGTGAGGTTTCATGTGAGATGTGTGAAGATTGTTTGGGGTCTTTCTGGAAATGAGTTGCAGAGAGAGGGTGAGCTGCGAACGGCTAGGGTTCACGGTGAACAGTGATCAGAGAGTTTGAAGGAGTTTGGTTTTGTTGTTAGGGTTTCATGGATTAGGGTTAGGGTTTGGGTAAGGCCCAAACGTGTTTGCTGAGTCATACCCCCATTTTACTCGTACCCCCCTGCGTGTGAGAGACAGATTGGAATTGGGCTTAGGCCCCAATGCTATCCACACCCCCCTCATCTCAGCCCAATGAGAACTAACGTGAAAACTTACTAGTTTGCACCCCCTGCGCGTTTTCCTTCTTTTTTATTTTTCATTGGATTCTGATGAGGCTGGGCCTACGCCCTTTGCTATGTACACCCCCCATTCAGGCCCATTTAGAAATTCAACCTGAAAAGCATGCTGTTTGAACCCCCTTTCATTTTATTCCCAATTTTGGTTTTTTTAAATTCTTTTAATATTTTCTTGCACATTATAAAATTCATAATAAAATGAAAACAATTGATTTTTAATTTCTTGTTTTTTCTACCACTTCATGAAAAGGTCTAGAAAATTGTATAAAAATAAAAATGCCATTTTATTTTTGTTTGCTATTTTTGGTATATTTTCCATTTAATTGACTTCTTTTAATATTTTTTTAGTGCATGCATGTTATTAGAAAATTCATAAAAAATAGTAGGTTTAACCAAATAATTCCGTTCTTTTTTCTGTAGACTCGTAATTCAATGTAGAATTTTATAGTACAAAAACATTAGCTTAATCATGCATTTTAATTTTAATTGCATTTTTGCATTGTTATTGATATTGAATACTTGGTTTGTGGATATGTCTGCTTTGTTGATTTTAGTTCTTGCATCTGGTAGTGAATTTTGCTCTGATTTTTTTAGTATGTTGTGCTAGAGCCATGTAGGTTCCCCCTAGATTTTTGATAGATTTTTGTAGGATGTTCTGATATGTTTTAGTCTGAGCTTGAGGATAGGAGAAGTCTTGACGACTTCTGACTTTGAAGTTCAACTATGGTTGAACTTCAGAGATAGTCTCTTGAGGTTTGATGGCCTGTGGGTTCTTCTCAAAGATGGGAGCTGGTTGAAGTCCTGTTGGAGCTTGCAAGGATGCATTGGATTGAGGCTTAGTCTAGGAGTTTGTTCCCTGTTTGTGAGGTTCGAGATCCTGAAGTTTGAAGGGAGTTTATGGTACTTTCCTGAGGAAGGCACTATGAATGACTTTCATTCTTTCTTCTCACCTCTTTCTTAAGTATCCAATGATGTTGGAGCCAACTTGTGAGTTTAATTTCTCCTGAGGAGGAATGTAAACTAATCACATGTTGTTGAGCCACATGGGATGCGATTCCTAAGTGGAAGCCTCCTGGTACTTTCCTGAGGAAGGTCCTATGGGTCTGTTCACTTAGTTCCTCTAGTTTATCTAGGATTTCTTAAGTATCCAATGACGTTGGAGCCAACTTGTGAGTTTAATTTCTCCTGAGGAGGAATGTAAACTGATCACAGTTGTTGAGCCACATAGGATACGATTCCTAAGTGTCAGCCTTCTAGTACTTTCCTGAGGAAGGTCCTATGGGTCTGCTCACTTAGTTCCCCTAGGGCATATAGGCTTTCTCAAATATCCAGTGATGCCGGAGCCTTCATGTGAGTTTAGTTTCTCCTGAGGAGGAATGTAAACTGATCACAGTTATCGAGCCGCATAGGATATGACTCCTGAGTAGTAACCTCCTGGTACTTTCCCGAGGAAGGCACTATGAGTTTGTCTGCTTAGCTCCCTCTCTTTGGTAAGCTTGTTCTGAAGCTTGGAGATTGGGATCGATTCCTTTTGCTTAAGGGTTTTGATTGAAGTTTTGCTTAGAGTTTTGTTTAAGTGTTGCATAGAGTTTTGTTCAGAGATAGATTAGAAGTTTGTTTGTTAGGGGCCCTGCTCAGGTTTTTGTTTAAGCTTTGGATAGAGGTTTGCCAGATTAGCTAGCTTTCTCTTTGTGTTGTTTGATTTGTATGGTGTTGTGTTGCATTAGACTTAGGTGTTCATCTAGATAATTCTGAGGTAGGTGCATCTTAGAGGTAGACTTTGTGTGCATGAGAAGTTGAGGTGGTCCTCCTTCTGCTTGTTTGTTATTGAGTGGCTTTGCTTGTTGGTATTTGGTAGAGCTGAGCTCCCTTACCTCTGTGGCTTGCGGCCTTTGTGCCTTGTTTGTCTAGTTGTTGCATTCATGCATATTTTCAGTATTCCTTTACTTTGTAGTATTTCCCGTTTGCTGTTTAGTCCTGTTGCCATGATCCCTTAGGAGCTCTGACTTCTCCGCTGCGGAGTCGTTATGATAGACTTTAGGATGGTCAACCAGTCATGATAACAGTAGGTAGATTCCCCTTATCAGCTATAGTTTAGGGTGTTTTTTCCGTAGGAGCTTTTGAGTAGCTTGTGTCGTAGTTAGCTGAACTACAGTTGCTCTGATTCCTCGTACCAGACGAGGATATGTAGGCATAGGATGCGATATCCTAGCGAGCACACTAACAACTAACCTTTGTTCTCTCGCGGCTGTGCGATCGAGACTTTCCCGCTGACGACTAATTGTTTCCCCTTTCTCTTGCCCGAGTGCATTTGAGACCAGATCGTAGTTGTAGGTCCCCGAGCCTTTAGAACCAGTTTGTTTTCTCACTGCTGTGTGAGAGCCCCCTGTTTAGTCGTAGTTAGTCGAACTACGTTTGCTCTGATCTTCCATGCTGTGTGGAAGTACGTAGGCACAGGACGCGATGTCCTGGCGAGCAACCTTTTCCCCGTTTAGTCATAGGTAGTCGAACTACGTTGACTCTGACTTTCCCATTGCACGAGGGAATACGTAGGCCCAGAACACCATATGTTCTGTCGAGTCCTGTCCTTTTCTTTTTCTTTTCAGACCGACCATTAGCGTAGATAGATAAACACACCCTTTTCCTTATAAACACCAAGCGTGGATCCCATCGAGTACGATGGACGTGAGGGGTGCTAATACCTTCCCCTTGCGTAACCGACTCCCGAATCCAGGTTTTGGTTGCGATGACCATACCTTTATCCGTCTTTGCGAGGTTTACTTCGAGCGTTTCCTTTCCCGCTCTGAGGGATAAATAACGCACGGTGGCGACTCTCCTGTCAAGCCGGCGCCGATTTTCGCAGTAGCGACAGATTGTGTTTCAAGAAAACAACAAAGAGACACTATGCCGTAAAGATATTATTGACATGATCTTAGTGCGTGTTGAGATTGATAAAAAACTTGCAATGTTTTGTAATAGAAGATAGGATATTTTTATCCTCGTATCTGTTTGGTCGGTTTATTGCTTGGAGCTTGAATCCTCAGATCGACTTGGCAGTATTCTAATTTTTTGATAATAAAATTATTCTTGTTCAAAAAAATATATTTTTCTTTTATTTTATACTATTATATAAATAAAAATTAACTAATTAGTTATATGATTAAAACAATTTTAAAATATAAATATGATTTGACGGAATAAATATATTTTGTTTCTAAAAAATAGAAGATACAATCTTCTTAATGAATAGGTAAATCACATAAATATTTTAAGACTTAGTAGTTTACGTTTTGAGGCATTATATTTTTCTTTAATTTTGTGAATAATTCTCAAGTACCAAACCCCAACGAAACGGCGCAGAAAAACCCCTGAACCCAAATCCTAATTACACCACGAGAACCAAGAATTACTACACCGCGATTGGAAAGCACAAACCTCCGAAGCTACGACATAAGCGTTAGATTTGATTTTTAGTTCCACAGAACACAAGAATGAAGAAGAAGCGCGAGGATGATTATTTTGAGTATCTTCACTCTTTCCCTCCAACAAAATCCAGAAGACTGGTTTGTACTTTGTACCTCATCATTCTATACCCTCTTCTTCCCTTTGTTTTTATGATTATTATTTTGAGTTTCAATTCATTTGTTTGTTTTGCTAATTTAAGGACTCCGAGGTGACGATGGAGATGATGGAGGAAGATATTCATACAGATGTAAATGTAGTTCCGCCGCTGATGCAACCGAACCAAGAGAGGTCGCTGGTGCTATATCAACCCTCCAATTCAAGTAATACCCCTCTTCTCAAGTCCCCTACTTCCCCTCCCTTCACGATAGTTGTCAACACAAACTTGATTCCTGGTTTGAAGGGTAATGCATAACCTTTTTCACTCTCTCTTTTGTTTTATTACAATTTTGCATATTTTATAACATTTTATTTGTTAATTCCGTCATATTAGTCGTGAAATGCCCTAATTAACTTAAATTAGCGCTACAAATGCAATAATTCTATGCCCTAATGCAATAATTAGGCCGAAAAGCAGAAATATATTTGATAGGTTCGTATGGGATAAATTCTTTTTTATTAGGTCGTAATTTTTTTTAGCTTAATAGCTGTAAATAAGGGTTTTCGTTCTATTAGATCATTTGTAAATTTGAAAAATAATCATCAAATCCTTATTTATTATCTATGCCTGAAATTCATAATAGAAATGAGAGCTGGGAAGTGTTTTCTGAATTTCCATGGGGTGGATATCCAAATTATTAGATACAAGAAAAGAGGATATTGTTATGGTCCTTGGTCTGGGATCGTGTTGACACCGTTGACTATAGTTATCAATCCCGGGGAATAGCGGCACTATCCTGAGTGAGCGGCACAGTGCGGTGGTTGGCCGCTATGGTGTAGCCGTTTGAGTTCGCGGCTGTGATTTGGTGTGTAGCGGGTGCAGGAGCGGAACGCTTCCCAGCTCGAAGCGGGTTTCAACCCGCTATATGCTTTGAATGCGAAAAACCATATTTATCCTTAAAAAAGTAAACGTTGGAGGAGTTTTTCTGGAACTTTGCCCATTTTGTCCTAACTCAGAAAACAGAGGATTCGTCTTCTCACTTCCTCATGCGTTTCACTTTAGTTCTCATCGATTCCTCCCCTAATTTAGGAAACTCTCTTTTGTCTTGTCATTTGGCTGATTCCTCCCCTCCCAGCACCACTACCTGCATTCGTTTCTCCAAGCGCGACCACTGCCTGCATTCCTCCAAGCGATGAGAATTGAAGTGAAACGCGTGAGGAAGTGAGAAGACGAATCCTCTGGTTTTTCAGTTAGGGCAAACTAGGTGGGACGAAGCGATGAAAACTGAAGTGAAACATGTCAGAAAGTGAGAAGACGAATCCTCTGTTTTATGAGTTATGGCAAATTAGGCAAAATTCTAGAAAAACTCCTCCAATTTTTATTTTTTTAAAGGGCAAATATGGTTTTTCACATTCTAAACAGATAGAGGGTTGAAACCTGCTCCGGGTCAGGTAGTGCCACGATCCGCTACACACCAAATTGCGGCCGCCAATTCAAACCGAAACGCGAATTGCTACGCCATAGCAGCTGGCCACCGCGCCGATGTTCCTCGGGATTGACAACTCTGGTTTTTATGATTTTTTTACATCACTTCATGATTTTTTCTAGGAATATGACAAACTAAATTATGTACACCTGAAGTGTTTCATTCTTCCTCCCAATTATAAAATTTGATTTTTTGATGAACTGATGGTTTGGTACAATGTTGAACGCAGTGACATGATAGGTAAGGCCGTACAAATAAGAAGAGTGGCTTGAGAGTGAGGGTAGTCATTTCACCCCGAATGGGTCCAGGGAGAGTCTCGGATCTCTCTCTGATATATATAGGGAATTTACACACTCCCTCCGTTCGTTATAAACAAAGTTTACCTTTTTAGATCAGATACATCAATTATTTAATGAATCTAAAAAGGTGAAATTTGCTTACAATATGAAATGGGGGGAGTACTTTCTGTGTATTCTTTTTGTACATTCAATAAAAATATATCTTTTAATTTTAATCGAAACCAGTTCCCATCATGGCATCCCCATGGACTACTACTGTTCTTGCAACATTTTTCATGATTATAGGCTGCTCTTGTTAAACTAGAAACTGAAAATTATTGATAAGCGTTTGTGGATTTGCCAAGAAGTTATTACATTTTCATTTTTTTTTCTTTTGCAAGATAGGTGGAGATATTTGTTTTCCTATATACATTTGAAGTTAGAACCTCATATTATTTGGGCCATAGTATTACAAAATTTTGATGAAGTTATTCATCTGAATAGATATCTTATGAATAAGTTTTGCCATCTTCTGCAGATTATCTGTTGTCACGAGGTACTACAAAGCTAGAGGAACTCGGGGAAGATGAAATGAGAAGAGAAAGGACACCCGAACTTTCAAAAGACTGTTTAGCTGTTATTCCATGGGTTCCTAATCCTATAACATGCGAAGAAGTAGTTCCAGAAACAAGTCAAACATTAGAGTCAGAAGATAGTGAAATGATGGAAATGGATGAACCATATGCCAATAACAACAATGAGAAGGTGGAGACATGTGGAGTATCATCGCCATGGCAGCAACAACAACAATGTATTATGCCTAATTTATTGAAACCTCAGTTTGGTACGTATTTCTGGTAGGTCCGTAACTTCTCTAGTGACAATGTGTACATAATGGGAGCATCTGTAGACGAGAAACTGAACAAAGTGAAAGCATCTTTAAAAGAGAATCTGAACTAAGTGCTCAAGTGTCCTAGTAGTAAAGGTTTATATTTATTGCAGGAGTGAGTCTACTACTTTCAACGCCTGTTGGGCTGTTCCTACTGACTATCACAGCTTGGTTAAAGTTTATAAAAACCGAACTAACATATATTAGTTTGAGTTGTGTTGATTTGACACACAAATTTGTCACCAAAATTCTACACCAATTTAGATGATTAACAAGTTCAAGTATTTACTGTAGTTAGTTATATTTAGTACTAGATGGTTAATTAATGCAACAAGATGCTGTAACTCATTAATCTTCCACCAAACATCTACACCAATTTAGATGATTAACAAGTTCAAGTATTTACTGTAGTTAGTTATATTTAGTATTAGATGGTTAATTAATGCAACAAGATGCTGTAACTCATTAATCTTCCACCAAACATAATTAGGGGTGCACATGTGTCGATTTGGGTTGAATTTAGTCAAAATTGTGACCCAACCCATATATGATATATCGGTTTGGGTGAGGTAAAATGACCATCCACGATATCATTAGGTCAGTTTGAATAAAACCACAAATTTGAGGGTTGGATGGGGTTGGCTAGTGAGTTATCAAATTTTTTTAGTTACTTATATTATTATAAATGATGTGTCACTTTTTTTTATTAGTAAAAAGTTTAACTTATTACCAATATTTTTTAAAACATCAAATGTTTAAATGTATAAAAATCATTGTAAACATATTTTCAAAATCCAAAGTTACATTATAGTAATCAAAGTGCGGTATTCTAAATAATTGAAAATCATTACTTACAAAAAATAAAAGACGTTCAAAAGGTTGTAATTGAAGCAACAAAGATTAATGATATTAAAGTGATCATTTATCAAATTATAAAAAATAGTTAAAAAGTAGTCCTTTAATAACCCATAGATTTTGTGAGTTGGGCGTGGATATATCCATAACTCAATTATTCTAGAGAATTTTTTAATCTACTCCTTGATACTTAGGCACCTAATGAAATTTTTTTTATACTCTCTGCTTTCGAAGGTACATATTCGGACGCATTATTTTTTTCTTTATGATGCATGCTTCTGGAGATGCATCTACGAAAAAAGTTTCGGAGATGAATCTCTAAAATCTTATCAGAACAGGTTTTAAAAAAAATTAAGTTTTGTTGGTCGCAGATGGAAATTTACGGTTGCAGATGAATATAAAATGACATACATCTGTAATATGGTACACCAATGTCAAAAAATATAGTACATCAAAAAAAATATCACAGTCACTACTGTATGTGCCTGACTGCCTCGTCTATGCCGCCTCGTTTGCCTCTCCCGCCTCCTTGATCGTCCGATTTGCATCCTCGACCATCGATCCCACCCGTCCTGGCGCGATGCCTGCGGTACATAAGTGTTTTTGTTGCCACCGCAATGATGTCATCGATTACACGCCTGTGGTCAGACCCCATAGAGAAGAAATTGGTGGCAAAGTTTGTTCGCCCCATCTCCACTATCTAACGACAGCGAGGCAGGACATCCTGAGTGTGGTCCAACTGAGACTGCTGCTCCTCTAAGATCTCATGATGAGCTGGTCTAGGCGGCGATCCCTCGGTAGTGGGCACCATGTAGGGGTGTGAGACGATGAAAAACCACATGATGTAGCCATCAACGCAGCTCTAGTCTGTCGGCGCTCTGGTTGCTCGAGCCTCGTCGAGTACCATGTGCTTCTGGTAGTCGGCATAAATCTCCTCTATCTGCATATGAGTCAAGCCAAGAGGAGCAGAAACAACTGGGTGTATGAGAATGGTCTAAGTGTAGTCGAACTGCCGCATGACGCGCTCGGGAAAATATGGAACAGTGATGGTCGAATTGCATGCCAACCATCTTGAGAATAGGGAGATATCGTCAAACGGGTGCATCACATGGTGATCAGCATAAATGCCGTACCAGATGTCCTTAGCAGCCAAGCGATCGAGATAGACTCTGTAAGGGTCGACCGCCTGGTTCCCCCATGAGCGGGAGAAAGACACGGGCACACAACATCTACTCTGTGTAATCAAGCACAATCCCTCACCCGACAATCATGGGAAAATGCTGGAATATCCAAGACTGAAATGACAATAAAAAGCATTATCTCGAATATAGAATGAAAATAAATGAAAAAAAGTCTAAGGATATAAGATTGTTACCACAAGTAGTGTCATGCTCCCTGCCACAGTCCTGGTCTTCCACTTGCATCCCTCTCCCAGCCTCGAATACGTGTAAGCCATGGTAGCCCGCCCTCTAGTTGTACTCATGGATCCGTGTGGAATCCAAAAAGTACCTCAAGTAAGAGACATCCGTATATGTGGAGGAAATGTCCACAAACAGCTGAGTGCCGACTAAAAATAGAAAATAACATCTCAGCACATACTTCCTGTGTATCTCAACCTCAGCTGGATCACCATCTGCCTGGCGTGCAACAACGAGCGCCTACCAAATATACGGGTGAGAAAGGAGAACCTGACATGAGCCCTTATAGTCTTATCCACCTCCTCCAGTGCATCCAGTGGATCAACCCCAAGCTCCTCAACCAACATCTCTCTCGCATCCTCCTTCGTTATCCTACCGTGACGAAGGAGGGTACCCTTGATCGGTATATGTAACAAACATGAGATGTCGTCCAGTGTGATCGTGAGCTCGTCGTGCGATAGATGGAAGGAGGACGTCTCAGGGTGCCATCTCTCTGCAAAGTCCATCAGCATCCCATTGTGAATCACGCTATAACCGATCTCACAAAGGTCCTTCAAACCAGAGGCGGCAAGGACATCCTGAAACCAAGCCTCCTGTGGCTACTCCAAAGATAATATCTTCCACCCGTGGTTATAGAACTTCTGCGGCTGACGAGTCTGGAAATTTTCATAAATAAGAAACAATGTCAATTAGAAACAATGGTACACATTATAAATTTCCAATGAGAAAAAAAAGAAACAATATGAGTAACGTTACCTTTCCATCCCAGACATGTCTGGCAGTATGGTTGGCGTACCCTGTCAACAAGGACATATCTGAGGGACCCCCTAGGAAACCATCAGGCTCATCATCGTCGTCGTCACCAGCATCCTCCGGTGGTGGGTCATCACCCTCTAGAGGTGACACCAAATCAACATCAGGAGGAGAACCAGGAGTATCCCGATGATGCCTGTGGGAGGACGAGGCTTGTGATGAACCCTCAGCTGAATTCCGACGCCTCCGGGATGAAGAAGTGGATGATGGTGTAAGATACGAGGTCGAGGGAATGTCTTGGGCATGTGATGAAGAAAGATGTGTCTCAACTGTATCGGCCTCGGTAACGGTGGTTTGTCTCCGCTCGCGTCTCACAGATGCATGTTGTGAAACCCGTCCAAGTCGCAATCTATCTTCTCTGTCTACCATAATGTCTGCAAGGTATAACCAATAAAAACAATTAGATACAAATAAATTTAAAAACAAAAAAGAAAAAATTAACATTTTTTTACTTTCAGATACATGCGGAAAAACCCAGAATTCAGAAAGTTATATTTGTTCCAGAGTTGCATCTCCGAAAATGCCCTAACGTTAATTTGTTCTGTAGATGTAGCTCAGGAACTTCCTGTAACTTCAACAGCAAAGTCAATGACGTCCTCACCCATGATAATCGGTGTTTTGAAGCCCTGGTCGTCCGTTTCAGCCAACAAACAATACCTACATTGTCTTTAAACTATGTTTCTAAAACTATCTAACGATTTCTACACTTAAAATTATATTCTAAGTCGTTTACGGGAAATGTTCGAAAATAACTCGGAAACTTTAAAACTTACCGATTATATTGAGATTTGAATGATTTAGAGTGTCTTAATCGTTGAGATGAATGCTCCTTGTCGAACTTGATTTAAAACAATTAAGTTTGGTGGAATTTTTTTTTGAAGATTGAGAGAGTTTGAGAGTGAGAAGTTGAAAAATGAAGAATGAGGGAGGAGAAGGGACTCTGACGCAAATGTATTCTAATTTGTTCCGGAGCTGTATAAACGAAAACATTTCATAGATGTAACTCCGGAAAAAACCAATATTAAGCAAAAAAAAAAACGAAAAAAAAAAAAGATACGCCTCCGAAAACAAAAAATATTTTTAAAAGTACACATGTTACCTAAATATCTCAAGAAATAGGGTAAGAAGTTCTCTTATTTTAAATTGTTTTATCTTTCTAAATGCCGTGTGTTTGTTCAATAACCCAGGTAAGAAGTTCTCTTATTTTAAATTGTTTTATCTTTCTAAATGCCGTGTGTTTGTTCAATAACCCAATTCAATTTTATTTTTTTTGTTTCGATGGGTTTTAATGGGTGTGTTGGATATATCCAACGGATATAAACCCCTAAACACAATCATAATTATGCATGATTGTTGAATGTTAAAATATACTACATGATCAGGGCGGAGTTAGGTATATAAAATAAATATGTTATAACTACCCTATTATAATTTATTAAGAGACACTCTTGAACTGTTTTATTGACATTTCACGCCTTTTGTATTATATAATACTATTTATGTAGTGTCATAAATATTCAGACTTCACATTCTTTACATTCCATAGTCATGTTTCAGATATTTGTGTCCACATAGGGGTAAATTTATTTAATATACTATAAAATATATTTAGATGCATATATAAATTAAAAGTATTTTATTTAATTATAAAATAAATTATATAAATTTAATTATATTAAATAATTATATATAAAAAGAGTCGTAAGATGAAAGAAGAAAAAAAATGACTGAAAATAAAAATTGTCTCTAACAAATTAACTGATATAATTATTGATTAAAATCAAATAGGAATTCATAAGTACGAACATTTTATTAACATAATAGTTAACCAACTGAAATTTTTCTATTCAAAAAAGATGTATTGTGTGAGATTTTAATAAAAATAAAACGATAAAGAAAAATAAAATACTTAAAAATAATTTTGACATAACGCAAAAAGTATATGGTAGACATTAGTTATACACTTAATCATTAGATAATTAAGATTTTAATTTATTAGGTGATATATTGTTTTTATTGTATATGATAATATGATTAATGTTAATATTTGTCCTTAATAAATTTTTAAAAAAATATTATTTTAGAAAATGTATATTTAAAACTTTAAAATATTTAATTATTGTTATTTATATTTAATTATATATTCAATTTAAGTTTTAAAAAAACTGAAACAAAGATATATCCAAAACAAACATGTTATGAGATAAAATTAAAAAAAAATCAAATTCAAATCATGAAAATACTAAAGTTGCATGATCATATATTCTAAATAAGTCAAGAGACAAATGATAAATAAATGACATATTATAATATAATTCAACACATTTAAATCTCATTATTTAATTTTAATATATAACTATGTATTGTTAATATTAATACTATTTATCACCCAGTAATATATATATATATATATATATATATATATATATATATATATATATATATATATATATATATATATATATATATATATATATATATATATATATATATATATATATATATATATATATATATATATATATATATATATATATATATATATATATATATATATATATATATATATATATATATATATAGGACGCTAAATTTTTATAACTTATTCCATAATTATAACTTTTAAATTAGATTTAATCAAATCGTTATAAGTAAAAATGATAATTTAACCATTAAATTAGATTCAATTTAAAGGCTACGATGTGGAGTAAGTTAAGAAACCTTACTCTTGAAGTAAGTTGGTCCCCACTTTTATATATATATATATATATATATATATATATATATATATATATATATATATATATATATATATATATATATATATATATATATATATATATATATATATATATATATATATGAGCTCTTGTATTCACCGACATTGTAGAGGAGGAGGGGGTGTACTTGCAATGTACTCCGATGCTTGGAAAGAGCAAGTACAGAGAGAATATGTGTAGAGAATAAGATACTTACAATGTACTTTTTGATTCATTGATTGTTTGGCTTGACACTTACAGTAGGCACTTATGCTTTTTCCAATTTTATTGTTGAATTGACGGTCGGCACTTATACTTTTCCAGAGAGATGGAGAGATTTTAATTAGATTGAGATTTGAGAAACAGAAAGAACACAGACTCATAAACTAGGGTAATGTTCTATGACTTTTGAATCTTAATAAAGAGTTAGAAATCTGACTTTTCAATGATTAATGTTTATATCATTATTTTAATTTTAGTGCCCCAATTAGACTCTTTAGTTGCTAAAACTATGAATATATTAATTGATTTTATTCTACTCTATATTTTATTTAAGGAAAATTACATTCATTTATTAATTTTGACTTTGTAATGCCCCTATAATTTTGTTAGTATTTTTCAAAAAATAATAATTCTAGCAAGTATTTTCATAATAGAAAATTTTAGTAATGCATATATATATATATAGTTAAAAAAAATTTAGTGCCCCTAAAATTATGGTGCCTTGTGTCACACCCTAATTTTTAACCCTAAGATTCCACCTCATTTGCATCATTTTGGCATAACATCAGTCATCTCATGTGTGTGTTTTGTGCATTACTAACCCTTTTTGAAGACAAGAGTATGTGCTTTGGTTTACTCTAATCATAAGCTAAGGTTTTGGTGTCAAGAGGATCAAGAATTTGACTAGTCAAAGGATTGTGGGATCCTCAGCCTCTCAAGCCCTAATTCATTCAACATTGATCAATGGTCTCCTCTCATCAATAATCAAATGCAAGATTGCATTGAATCAAGATCAGCATGCCCAAGTTATATGAGCTCTTGTATTCACCGACATTGTAGAGGAGGAGGGGGTGTACTTGCAATGTACTCCGATGCTTGGAAAGAGCAAGTACAGAGAGAATATGTGTAGAGAATAAGATACCTGACCCTCTAGTGAAAGATGATATTTATAATGTGCCCCCAGCACAGGGCCAACGATTACATTGCATTGGGTCGGATTGCCAAGCCCAACACAAGTAACTGACAGAGCTTATGTGGCGTATTGAAGACCAGCACGTGGTCTTCGCCTTGGATCAACTGCCCTGTGATCTTCGGAAGGTGGACTGACCATCTCTTTCGGAAGTGGATAGTTGCCTGATGATGTGTCCCCGCGTGGGGGACATGTGGAGGACGTGAGGGAAGCGCGTAGGCTCTCCCCACTCCAAGTAGTGGTCTACTCGACTGAGAGGCCTTGTTGAGAAGTGTGCCCGACATGGTAGGATTGAGCCTTGTTGAGCCTCCCCATAGTAGCATTGGGTTGGGCCTCCCGACTGTGGGGCAGGTCTTGGCCCAGTCCAAAACAGAAGCCCCCTAATTCGTTGCTCCTAAGTGTAGGAGTAGTGACTTAAGAGCGAGTTAGGGCGTCGAGGACCAGTCCAGGGGATGGTGGCCTGCCCGACATACAAAGTTGAAGATTGTATGCGCGGCTAAGAGTGACAGATGCTCGACGAGGCAGTGTGTCAGGGAGCTGAAAAAAACAAATGCACGAGGAGAAGCTGGAGGGACGTTCGTGGTGTCCCCTAGTGCCACGTGTCGCGTGCAATTAAAGCCTAGGGGCGACTACGCGTAGGGCACTTGAGTGCCTAGTGTTGCCTCGCTTCTCGTGTCAGGCTTATAAATAGGAGGGGAAACCCCTCTCACTTGCACATTCGCTCCTCAAACCTATCAGAATCCTTTCCAAGTTTTTATCGCCGTCGTCGCTGTTTCTGTTATCGTCACCGATCTCCGTCGTCCAGATCCTCCTCTCACAAGTAAGTTTCCACATCCTCTGTGTAGTTTTATGAGTTTTTGGTGAAGCTATAAATTTTCCGGTATGTCTCCTGAAGTTTCCGGCGAGGACGCTGGGAACTTCATGAGGATTCCGGTAAATTCATGAAGATGCCGATGAATGTCTCGGGGACCTGCAATGAAGGTCCCAGGGAGCTAGAATGAATGCCTCGAGGAGCTAAGCTCCTCGTAAGTGTGTGGCTATCGCGAGGAGGTTCACTCAGGATCTCCCCGCGCGTGTCGGGGTCACCTCGATTGGGGAGCCTTACATGTTGGGGAGGGGGCCTATGGTCCCCGAGTTATCGTCGGTTTTCTTCTAGGAAGATCCTTCGTCGGGGAGGGGGCTCATGGTCCCCGAATTTCCCCGTCTCTCTCTTCGCCATTTCACTTGATTTACGGTGGAATGGTGGATTTGATCTTGGAGTCGAATTCACTATTTTCCTCTGCTTTTCTAGTAAAATAGTTGTAAGGATTGAAGGCATTATCCATGTTGATGATGAGTTCGAGCTCGACACTCTCGTCGAGGTCGAAGGGGCTGCACCCGTTCGAACTCCCGTGGACTGGGCCTGCTTGGAACCTCTA